GAGAGGGCAGCGTTACCAGAGTTGCCCATATACCACACCATGTTACAACACAGTAGGGCTATTGCAGACAGAAACAATACTGTACTACATCGATGTTTCCTGTCGCCTCAATTTTTGAGTGGACTTTGCTGTTCCGATTTGCATGAACGGTATACGAGTGGAGCGACTGAGTGGAGCGCACACGCATAGAGCGGATAATACGCAGAGCGTCACACCACGTGAAATTTTTGGTGAACTAATTTTCGGCAGCCGAAATTTCGGTGCATGTCTAATTATTGGCGACATCAGAAATGGATATTATATAATAGATGCTTTATTGAACATTTTAGCAATTTAAAAATATTAAAAAATGATTTTTTACACAGCACCCCTGCTCTCGACAGACGGCACCCCAGTTGGGAAACACTGGTTTACACGACAACGGCGTTTTGGGGACTGAAAACGCATAATTTTGAAAACGCCACCGTTATTGTTTCTGTGTATCTTTGAAAACGGTGACGTCATGGGCGTGCGTAGTACGTGTTAGGTATGTAGACATGCGCAGTACATGTCGATTTTAAAGGCAAGCGCAAACAAACATACACAACAATGGCGGAGTACATGGTAGTGTTGTTGCTGCTCAAGAGTTTGCTAACGCTTCTTCAGCAAAGTGTGGATTTACTTCACCAATATTACAACCAATAGCGGAGACACATCATATACACACGGCAACAGGTACTGTTTACTAACAAGGTGACAGCGCCAACTACTGGCCTGGCATACGTAATACAGCGTGTTTGGCCGTTTTCGCAGATAGGTGTAAACGCGAATCGTTTTGAAAACGTTGTCATGTATATGTGAAACTTTTTAAAAACGCAAGGGAAAAACTTTTCCGTTTTTGACTACATCGTTGTCATGTAAATGTAGCCTAAAACGTGATTTAGCAAAAAAAACAACAACAATAACGTTACCACTCTAATATGTCTTGCAATATCCGTGTGTGCAAAAGTTCTGCGCAATCCTCTTGTTCAATATTCTCAGGGTCTGAATCCGGCTCAAATTGGTATGGCAATATTGACGCCATCCTTAACTACACCGGAGCAGACGGAACTTGTTGCTTTGGCAAGGGGCGGGGCAGTACTGAAACACAGTCTAAGCTGTTCACCAATCACGCCGCACTGGGACAGCTAACCAATCACATCACATTTAGTTTTTCGGAAGGCGGGCCTTCATCGAACCCGGAACTAATCAAGCCATTTGTGCCAGGCTGGGGAGAAAGGTATTGTAATAATGTAAATTATGTGAAAAATAATGAATCGTTTTTCGAACCACCAAGCATGAGAGCATTTTCTAGTACACCCACAAAACAAAATCAAGACTTTGTAAAAGAGCATAATAGGACCCCTTTAATAAAAAATTAAATCAGGGAAAAATAAGACAATTAATTTGTGATTTAATCTTTTGAACCAGCCTTTTTTTTTAAAAGCAGAATGAAACTGTAATAGCATCAAATTTGGTAAATGTATTATAAAATTATTACATTTACAATTGTAATTAGTATCATCGGTTAAAAAGTTAACTTTTTGACCTAAAAGTTTTATAAAAAGCTTATTTTTTTTCTGTCAAATTTCCCATTATCCTCAAGTAACCCCTATGCCCAAGATTGAAAAAATCCACAATCCATATTTTTTTGTGTTTTTATTTTTCCATCTACGTTTCTAGCCCTCTACTATCTTTGTTCTTTATGTGAGCTCTCCTTGTGGTTTCTCCTGCTCCTTATCTCGCTGTCATGATACGACTGGTCGGATCTGCAGCGTTTGAGGCCAAGAATGGCCTGAGGCAGTGCAGTCGCTCACTCTCTGTCCACTCAGAGCATTTATGCATCAGTTCACATTAGTGTTGTTGTCCTGCCTAGGGATAATTAAGCTAAAGGGGTCATCCAGCATGGTGAATTTAGCAAAGCTTTTTTGCTGGGGGAGGGGTAAAAAGCTAATTACAAGAAACAAATTAAGAGGGGAACTGAAGATGTCACTTGGACTAAACGATCAGACATCTGTGGTTATATTGGTTTGAATGGAAACACAAAGAATGGTTCTTCATTGTGAATGGGAGCTATAATGCATTTCAATGTAGGATCACAATGCAAATGGTATGTAGGCTATTGTAGCCATTCAGTCTGGTTTTTCTCTTGTGGGTCATCACAATGCAAAGAAGAAATGTAGTTTGTAGCAAAGTGTCAGTATGAAGCTGTCTTGCACTCAGAAGTAGTTTTGGCTTTTAACAGTTTCATTTTAACAATCATTCACACTCTTGCAACTTCAGATTGACTTAATTTGGGATCCCAGAGACCCTAATGATGTACAAGAAATTAAATTAATACTTTTATAATACTTTTGTTTAGCAAGGGTGTATTAAATTAATCAAAAGATTGTTAGAAAAGTTTTCCCCACAAATATATTAAGCAGCACTACTGTTCTGATTGATAATAATAAGAAATCTTTTTGAGCACCAAATCAGCATATTAGATTGATTTCTGAAGGATCTTGTGACACTGAAGAGTAGAGTAATGGCTGCTGAAATTTCAGCTTTGCATCACCGGAATAAATTACATTTTAAACTATATAGAGAACAGTTATGTTAATGAAAAAAATGCAACCTTGGTGAGCATAAGATAATTATTTCAAAAACATAAAAAAATGACCCCAATTGAACTGTACTACTAGTCTGTGTAGTGTCCATTTTTCATGGAGAACATTTGAAGCATGTTTTCAAATTGAAATTGTTTATAATTAATTAAAATCATATAGATATGTCATATCAAGCCATTTTAACTGAGCCTTAGAGTCTCAAAACAGAACATTAGTGTTACATGATTTCGCAAGAGCTCAGTAATGATACAATCTAGATCAAGCTGAATACATCATAATTGCATTGCGCATGTTGGTTCACATCTCGTTTTATTATGCGTTTTCTTTGCTTTATAGCCTACAATTGGAGACTGTCTTAATGTCTTATGAAATAGTGAAGAAGACAGTAACTCTTTAAGTTCAATTTTCTAAGTGCAATATGACAAAAAGGAACTGAGAGAAGACTTCAGAGCCAAGAGCAGATTTCTCTCCTTTCGAGCAGAAAAGAGCTCATCAGCTCAGTCCAAGCTCTAGTTACGTAAGCAGGCAGAGAGAGCGCAGAGCTGCAAACTCAGCACACCACAAACAAATTGCAAATGAGCAGTGTAAAGTTGCGTTTCAGTGACAGGATCATGATTTACACCAGTGGGAAGTGCAGCCGTTCTTCAGGCTGTCTGTAAGCTTTCCCAAAATTATTTTCTGCAATCTTAATCTAATGCCCTCGAGCTGTTCAAACACTGCACTTTCGAGTCTTGAAAGATAGTTGAAACGGTCTCCGTTAGATCCATTACCCTGAAAGAGAGTGATC